AGATGCTGGAGAATCTGAGATAACAAGGTGTAGAGCTGGATGACCACAGCAGGCCAAGCAGCATCAGAGGAGCAGGAAGGCTGATGTTTCGGGCCCATTTCTGAAGAAGGGTCTAGGCCGAAATGTCAGCCTTTCTGCTCCTCTGCTGCTTGGCCTGCTGTGTTCATCCAGCTCTACACCTTGTTATCTCAGATTCTCCAGCATCTGCAGTTCCTACTATCACAGAAAAATGTCAGTTGCTTCAGGAATCTAGTGCATGATCATCATGTCATGATAATATATGCAGTATGTGTTTTTTGTACATAAACATGAATGAGCCTGAATCATTTCTGCACAATTTTCCACCCACTAAAAAATGTTTAAAAATTAAAGTTAACTCACAAATTGAAAATGATTGGGTGAACAAGTATTTTTTCTTAAGGGATTATATTTAGTGTCAGCCACCCGTAATTTATTGAACATATTTAAATTTAAACAGGTAAATGAAGGTGACACACAGGTCAGCCATGATCCAACCGAATAATGCATGAGGCTAAAGGGGCTGACAGCTGACTCCTATTCCTATATTCCTAACTGCAAGTACTTATAACTGGCCTTCTCTTTGGGGATGTTAAGCATTTTTAAGATAAAATGAGATAAATTAGCAATCCAGTAATTGTTATGGGATAGTCAGCAATAATTATCTCCAGTTAGAAGGACCCTTTATATTGCCCAAAAATGCTATTATCAGAATGTACAAGATCAACATTACAGTAATGACACTTAAAAATGTAAATCCTTCTCCTCCAACTTTCAAGTGATTATTTATAAACATACAAATAAGGGTAAAGTCTACCAGACCATAGGACTCCTCTCTCGTCAGAGAAAGATGACTTGTGGTAGTTTAATCTGAGGATCACTACACCTCAAGTAAGGGGAGAGGTTGAAAAGGATTGTCCTTCACATGGTAACCTCAGCCAGTGTAGGAACTGAGCCCATGCTGTTGACATCTTTTGCATTGTAGACCAGCCATCCAGCAAACTGAACTGACTGAACAGAAATAGTTACTGGTTTGATTCTGGGTTTTAGCGGAATAGATCATTAATCAAACACTACTGTTATTTTGCACATTTTTTGCGATAGCACTCAAACTCTTAACCTATCTTTGTCTTTGAAATTCTGATCAATCTAATGCGCCGATTTGGCATTTTTCTGATTTCATTTGTAATTATTTAATGCAGTGTTTATCTTTTTTTGTTTTCTACACCATTGCCGCATCCTGGTTGTTGATCTAATGCTGTTGGGCTCAGTGTTTAAGGCAACCATGCATTGATGTGCTAAAGTGAGGAAATAGTCTCAGCCCTAATAACATGCAACCGTTTGGAATAAGAAAGCAGTTTTGGCCAAGAAGATGTATATTTAAAAGTGAAAGCAAATGTTGACAATCTAGCAGAATATCATTCAAAATTTCATAGAATTACACAGCATGGAAGGAGACTATTCAGCCCATTGTACCATGACTGGCTCTTCTAGGTATCCAATTAATCCCCCAATCCCCTCTTCTCCCGTTATACACCACCCACACACAATGCTTTATTCTTTAATTATATAGCTAATTCTCTTTTGAAAATCAGTACTTAATCTGCTTCCAATATCCTTTCAGCCAATACATTCCAGACCCCAACAATTCAATGTAAAAATAAATCAATTCTCTTAGTCTTCTCTCTCTGGATTTTTTTACCAATTGTCTCAAAATGGTGGCGTTTGGTTACCAAGTTTGCTGGCAGTTGGACCAGTTTCTCCTTATTTAGTCCATTAAAACAGCCCATAATTTTGAACACTTCTAACAAATCTTCCCTTGAGCTTCTCTTTCAAGGGGAGCAATCCCAGTGTCTCCACATAAACCAGCAAGCAAGCTCATCAGCAGTTTTGACCATTAAGAAATAAGTGGACAAACAGGAGGTTGGAAGAACACAGCAAACCAGGCAGCTTCTTCAGGACTGGGGTAATACCTGAAATGTTGACTGCTCCTTTCCTCCAGATGCTGCCTGTCTTGCTGTGTTCTTCCAGCCTCCCGTTTGTCTACCTTGGATTCCAGCATCTGCAGTTTGTTTTTGTCTCTAGCCAAGAAGCAAGTGGACTTGAGAAAGGCTCAGGTTCTCCATTTTTCCACTTTCATATCCAACCTATGTATCAGTCACTGAGATCAGCAAATACAGCTGCTTTGTTCACATGCTCCTCTCTGGAGAAACCAAGCTTTTGTCTCTTGTCTCAGTACCAGGATAGATAGCAAAAACCTCATATTAACTCAGCATAAGCTAAAACTAAACCTATCCACCAAGCAGAGATCCTAACTAACAAAGAAGGAACAAGAGTTGGCTTCTCAGCCCTTCGAGCCTGCTCTGCCATCCCTGCCCATCCTTGATAATCTTTCATCGGTCAATCTCTGCCTGAAAAGCATTTAAAGATCCTACATCCACTGCATTTTGTGGAAGAGAATTCCGAAGACTCACAATCACCTAAGCAAATTTTCTTTCCTCGTTTCTGACATAAATGGGTGACCCCTTATGTTTAAACAACGGTCCCTAGATCCTCCCTCATCATCCATCTTTTCCCCCATACTGAATTCATTGTAAAGATGATATGTAAAACTTTAAGATCCTCGTTATAACCAACATAACGTAATTAACCTGCCACAAGCCAAGAGAGAAAAATAAAACAGCCGAGCAGTTAAATATATTTAAGAAATCATTGCAGCTTAGAAGTTGATGTTATGCGCTCCATTTAGATGTAGACTTCAGCATTCTCCAATTGTACACTATCTTTCATTAGCAGTACACAGCCCTTGGAAATTCTCTACTATGACATTGATAGTGTATAGGACTATCATCACTTGAAATATGACATTTCCTCCTGTTTATTTCTTCTAAACTAGCAGAGACCTTCAACCTGCATCATATCCCCTTTGAAGATCTCATGTTTTCTAGTATAATTAATAAACTCAAAATGTGTTTTATCTTGTTATGCAATTGCTTGGACTAATCCGAGGGCCATAACTGTAAAGGCATTGAAATTAGAGGCCCAGTACACATTAAGGAAAGGCTTCAGTGATGTAAATAGTCTTAATTTATCTTCAACATCTTATGGTGCTATCACAGGTAGACTGTGTTGTCCTAAAGAGAACTCTATTTATAGTTTGCCCTGGATACTGCATAGAAATATACCCATTATACGTTAAAATTCTCTTTCATGATCAATGGGATTATATTGATAACTTTCAAATCCACTCATCTGACAAGGAGCGATCTTGTCACAGATATTGTATTGCATCAATTTATTATGCAGATTTTCTTTCTGCAATTCATTTTCTCACTCTGCTAGAATGTTCAGTTCAACTGTTACGAGAATTCATACTACTGAACCTTTGTAATTTGTATCTGGTTCGCCATTAAAATGGGTGTACAGTTTATCTCACTGCTAGCATAATAGTGTCAAGGAAACAATGAAGCATACTTTACAATTTTTAGACATGAGTCAATGAACTTATATTGGAGCATAGAAATAGGTGCATACTATTCTGCCCCTTAGTCCTATTTCACTGTTCAATCAGATTATGGTTAATCTGAACTTCAGCACAATTTATAGCACAATATACTTTGATTACTATCTCTTGGTAATGTTAACTAATAAAAATCTAATGATTGCAATACTGCAATTGGACCAGTCTCCATAGCCTTTGGGAAGAAAATTAAGATTTCCACTCCTCATTTTTGCAAAAAACTTGCTGATTTTACTTCTAGATGACCTAGCTTTAATTTTAAGATTGTGTCTCTTATGTTATTTCTTTCCTCAACAGAGGAATTAGCTTCTCTGCATATACTCTATCAGATCCTATTTATCATTTTAAACATTTCAACTACAACATTAAAATTTTTAAATTGGAAGACAAGCCAAGTTTGTACAGTCTGTCCTCATTGCACAAAACTTTAATCCTTTATATCATTCTAGTTAACTAGGCTCAGAATCATTCAAAGTATGGGCCTTATCAGTCAAATTAGGTAATCAGTTCTACAAACTTACCATGGACATTCCAGGTTGTGTTGTCAATACTTTCTGAAGTATTTGCTCTATTTTTAATCTTATGCAGTTCCTTTTGTTCTGCTTCTAAAATAGGATAGAGAATTCTGTTATGAGGAATAGTCAAGAGAAACAAAAGGCTTCCATTTTGATTTATTTTCAAACACTTGGACAACTTACCAAAGACTGACAATATTTTCTTTATTGTCACCTCTTTGCCTGCAGTATTTACCAGTATCATTGTATAACATCCTGTATCATTTGGTTGAACATTTGACAATAAAAATGAGCCATTACTAAAAACTTTTGCTCGATTGCTGTAACTTTGAAAGACGTCAGTGAAGTTTTGTTCCGGAAAGGTAGACATTGCGATATTGATTTGATTTCCCTCACAATTGTACTTCCACTGTATAGATTGTACCATAGTGATTGTTAAGTTTGTAGAAAATAACACATTTTCTCCAATAGTGGCATTGAGGAATTCAGTTTGTTGCGACAGAGCCAATATCTGATCTGTTAAAAAAAAGAAAATACAATGATACTAACTATTTCAATTCAGAAATGATCTATATTACGTTAAATAATCATTGGGTTAAAAAGTTAAGATGCTTGTTCAGTCACAATAGATTATAGCAACAATAAATGAAGTGATACAATCCAACTGTGTTATGCCATGTCTCAATCAGAAAGTACAACAGATCATTTATATCATACAGTGGGTTGAAACTTGGTAAAAAAAAATCTGATAGTGCAATGCCAGTCATTGAAAGTCACGAAAACAAATGGTACTGAATAGGCCTGCTCTTTGAAAGGGCTAACTAATTCATCTCTCTCCTCTGCGTTTTTCCCTATAGCCCTGAATATGTTTCATTTTCAAGTATATATTCAACATTTTTGTTTTAAAAATTACCATTGAATCTGCTTTCCTTACAGACCCTTTCAGACAATGAATTCTAGATCCTTACAACTTGTTGTTTAAAAGAATTTCTCCCTAGCTCCTCGCCGTACTTTTTGCCACTCACCTCAAGTCAGTATTTTCCGATCACTGATGCCCTTTCCAGAAGAAACAATTTATTTTTATTCACTTTATCAAAACCATTCATAGTTTTGAATAATTCTATTAAGTATCCTCATTGCTCTGTGGAAAATAATTCACTTTTTGAGAAACAAAATGGTTACTTACTTGTGAATAACATGATGTATATCTCGAACATTACCACTTTAAATGTACAAATCATACTGACGTGAACACAGTGGTGCTCCGAAACAGAATAGCTGGTGATTTAAGCAAGGTTGACGTGTGCTCATGTGGTTAGACAAACTTTATGTCAATGAAAGCTATCTCGCCCACACATTAACATATTGAATGAGTTTCTTGCCATTCGTACTCCCCTACAAGCATAAGTAATCATTATGTATTTTACAATAAGCACATGTTCTGAAATTACATAGTTAATCTTGTCTATGTAATGTTTGATTTGGACTAGAACCTGCAGTATCATGCCTTATCGGGCGAAGCCAGTGCATTGGCGAATAATGCCGGAAGTTGAAAGCGTATGTGTTTCTCACTTAGTAAAAATCTTTATTGTGGAACAAATGCATGTTAACTTGAATGTGTTCAGATTCGAAGTTAGACCAGGGCTATACTTGTAAAAATTGCGAAAATGAATGCTGACCGTGTTGAGATTTGATTGAGAGAAGCACATTGGAATTATATGAACCAAACTTATCCAGCACAATCACTTTGTTATTGGGAGTACACAGCTATTTAATGCAACAGAAAGTGTCAAATGTACTAGAATGTTTGATTTATGTTGAATTTTAATCTCACCCAATTGACCTAATATTGAACTAGAATTGCATAAATATTAAAGATTCTCAAGCCTAGGTCCCAAAACCTCTTTATGAAGATTACAAAACAGAGATGAAACAAGGCTGAAATACTTAACATAGCTGTCCATACTTTAGATTATCCCTTTATTATGGTTGTACTTTCTGTATTTAATTGTATGTTATTCATGTTGTAATTTTATTCCAAGCTGTACACTGTCACAATACAATTGTGTGCTAAGCAATTAATTAAAATATGTAAAAGGTCAAGTTAAGCACACACCTGTCTAAAATCTCAATTTGCATTTCTTTTAAATTTAGTTGGATGAGGGCTTTACTGGCTGGGACAGCATTATTGTCCATTCCTAATTGCTCTTAAGATGGTGGTGATGAGCTATTTTCTTGACCTGCTGTAGTGTGGAATATCCATAGTGTTGTGAGGAAAGGATTTTGACTCAGCAACAGCAAGACAGATGATCTAATTCCAAATCAGTCCAAGTAGAAACCAAAACACTGCATTAGTTTCATTAGAGCAAGGTAACGAGTAGTAAAAATATTACTCAGTGAAATACATTTGATTAAACATCCTTGAGTTATAATGCCTGTGTTTTTGATTTTTAATTTTATGAGTTAATCTGTGGTAAAGACAGCCAAATCACAATGACAAACCATTAGCAAGATTTGTCTCAGGATAGAAACTTTTCAATGGCTCCTAAATTTATAATGAGCTGACTCAGCAGATGGCCGTTGGAAAC